GTTTGAATGTGACGAAAGAACAGAGATTATTAAAGAGACCGATAGCGAAGAGTAGACAGGTCATACATGTATAGATGATCTTGACTTTTTTTGAGTTATCAACAAGAAGTGAATCGAGCGTGAAACTGAATGCTTGCATACTGAATTCACAACGATACCCATGGTAACAAGAAGGACAAAGACAGATGAAGTCATTTGGAACTTTTTTGTCACCTTGAAGACATTTGCCATCAGACAAACATTTGTCACAATGATCAATTTGATTATCATAAAGAAAACACTCGACACCACGACGATCTTCTTGACAAATACAGATATAATTAGCATCATAGAAACAAAACGGTTGACTATCATTTTGGCAAATTTCATGGTACATAAAAACAACTGGAATAGTTCGATTAGCATCTACAAAGATATCTATATTAGTTAGAAATTAATTTTCATTTATATAAAGTCTGACCTTCAGATAATAATGAAGAGGCGTGTGGACAGTGTTGTGGAGACGAAGTGATATTGATTACTGATTGTTGTAAGATATACAATACGAAATAGCGAGGGTTTGCAATATCTTCATAAAGCTTGAGAAGTCCAACCTCTGGTGCATAACGACCAACATGATTGTAGAGAATCATTGATGGCAAACCATAATACACTTGCTGATTGCGAATGTAAAGTTGACTTAGTTGATCGACAATAGTGTACAATTGGATAACACTTGCGCGCATCGATGATGTACTTGTTAGATTTAAATTAATGCGGACAGTTGCCACTTCATATTGACATTGATGACCATAGAATTGCTGTGAACATATGCACATATTGGGTGTTTCTCCACTCAGATCATAAGTAAGAACACAACTTCCCTTATTTAAACAAGAATTTGAATTGCAGTCATCATATTTTAAGTTGCAACGTGCGCCAAAACGATTGAACGGACAGATACAATAAGGATTCGTTTTGTTAGTATGCAGAACATAATGATCAAGTCGGCATAGTGCATTAGCTGAACAATACGTCTCACACTGATTTTCATACATGCTACAATCTGTTCCATAGTAACCACTTTTACATGAACAATAATAAGAATTATTCTGATTGAAAATGGGTATGCAGATGGAATTTTTATTACAGATATTTGGCAAACAAAGCCCGTGCGTGGTATTTGATAGCCAAGACGGAAATTTTAATACGACAGCCAGACGAAATGCAGGTAAATAATCAAAATAAATTGGATAATGCCAAGAGCCGATTTCTTTCACGCCATTAGTGTTGTTTTCAAGACAAAATACATCAAAGTGAACTGAATATGGATGATTATTGATGATATCAATGTGATTGAAATAACGTTCTTGCTTATGTTTTAGCATGTCGGCAGACCGTGAATAGAGAAGATAGAATTTATGTTTGATCTTCCAATTGGTTTCGAGTGTCGGAACAATATTATATTCATGACGATCTATAATCGTATTGTTGAAAAGGAAATCAGTCTTGATTTTAAGTATTTTGTTCGATATTATTTTTGGAATTGTTTTCTGATCAACACGCACGACAATACTGATTCTATCACTAAATAATTCGCATCGATGACCATAGTAAGCTGGCGGACACAGACATGCGGTTTCATTCATATGAAGAATAGCTATGCCTCGATTACATTGATAGGAATGTGAGATAAATAGAGAATCATTGCGAGAGTTGATGATCGATTTTAATTGTTGATTAGATATCTCCTTACTTTGAGTTGGATAATATGGGATAGCGATAGATGGAAATCTTTGCTTGATGATTCTTTGTTTCTTAACACGATATATATGCTGACTTTCTGAATCAGTAGGACACCAGTACTCATCTTCTCCGTTAGGACAGTCTAGCTCTCCATTGCATCGTACACCTTTCATACAATGATTGTCTATAAGGCACATGACATCATTGGTACCGGAGCAAGATTCATTTACATCTCGATAATTTGAACAGAGAAACCTGTTGCAATTTGCCTTCAAAAATTTAGCACAGGCAAGATTATATGATATTGTTTTATTTCCACAAATGAGATCGAAACCAAACATATCTTCAGTTGCTAAACTTTTTAGTATGTTTTTTTCATCATAAGCATTGTAACAATCTTCCGCTCCATCACCAATCTGAGTAAGATTGATACATGGGCGATTTGATTGAATATCTAGTGGATCCAATACATGTGATAGATAACATCCGAATTCAAAAGATATGTTACAGATTTCAGAAAACGGCGATTGAGTATATCGTGTTCGACATAATTCTCGTCGAGCATCTAAACCAATGAGACGAGCATTATGAGACGACCACTCTTGAATGAGCATAATGCCTTCTTCATCGGATGCATCCGCACAGTCCCATTCTCCATCACACACCCACTTGAGATCAATACACTGTCCTGTTTGACACCTATATTGATCTTGTTGACACACCCAATACTGACACGAAGATGCTAGTTCATCAATATGCTCTTTCAAATTCCAGAAGCTGTCACAATACAATCGAAATCTAAGCTGATTAATTACCGATTCTTGTGGATTATTGGCAATCGAACTATTGCTACTAAAATTCTTAGTAGACGATAGTCTAATATACTCTTTCCAACGATCACAGTCCTCAGTATTTTCTCTCCAGCATTGGCTTTTATCGTTAAGAGAACGGCCCATACCATACCAAGTTTCATCATAATTATTTGAACATTCACTAACACCTGAACCTAATTGTGACAATGAAAGGCATGCGTGTTCATCATTAAAACACTGAAAACGATATGATCCAACATTTTTCGTACAATAGCTGTTCTCTAAAATCAAACGTTCATCTGAAGGGACGACACAGTCTTCATGTCCGTCATAAATTCGATATTGTGAAATACATTGTCCCCTACTAGCACACAAGTCAGGATTAACAGCATATAGACGTCCATTGAATGTTAGTGAATCATTCCAACAGTGCTCGTCATATTGTAGAGATGAAGAAAAATCCCGCTCACCACGATTAGAATGTTCATCAGAACAAAGTGCATGGTAAGTGTTAGCAGTTGGGAACCAACCAAACCTGAACCAAGACGTTAAACCCACATCAACCCTAAAAAGATATCCTCGACATCTTATAGATCCACTTATTGTCCAAATGACAGCATTTGGATTTTTCGTAGATTGACTATAGTCGAAGTAAAACGAATAATACGGATTGATCAATCCTTGGGGAGGATAGAGAACATAATAATCTGATAAGGGACATACACTTAGCATCATTTTTGTACAATTTTGGTAGTTGCATGGACAGTCATGTTCAAGACCATCTGTCAAAACACATCGAAATAGGTAATCACATATTTCATTATTTGAAATTTTTGTTTTTGATCTGCTCAGATTATAGAGCACATTGAGTTGCCTATAAATCAATAGTTTTTCCTGCTTTGCATGGATTGTCTTGAATAAACAACATTAAACTTTCCTATTTGTACAGTGAAATGCTAGTAATATGCATCTACTATGTGAATTCCATTGACTGTATGTCATCGTAAAATCTATTTGAAACAAAAGAAAATATCGATTAATAGACAACTTGATGTGCTCTATAACCTGAGCAGGTCAAAAACAAAAATTTAGTTTAAAGTTGGTTTTCTAGAGATCTGGTTTTCTAGAAAACCATCCTATAAAGGCCTAAGGGCACTCCTCATACTCATATTCGAAATCAGCATAGTCGATAACCTATAACCCACCAGCTTTCATTAAAAAAGCGATTTATCAGTTGGAACGGTTCCCTCGTGAGCTTCGATTGCCTGACTGAATGATGTTGCGCCATGTGTCAACTGATACTCACAATATTTACCGAATGTTCCTGATATTGTACAGTTACATAGAAATCGATCATCGTCATCTTTAACTAATAATCTATTGTAGAAGACACGCGCATACATATCGGCCATTTCTACACTTGAACTCCAGTCGAGAACGTCATTTGGAGTGATACCTTGAGTGAGTAGATCGCGAAACAATTTTATTTCTCCTTGATTCTCACACTTTTGCTTCTTTCGATCAAGCTTTTCACTTCTACCTAGACGTCGACAATATGAAATATCCAGCCCAGTTTCATTTATATAGTATACACAATCAAACTTCTCTGTCGCTGGATTGTTCTCAGTATTATAAAGAAGAATTCGACCATACGAGCCGATAAAGATTAAAATAAAGATAGCTGCAATATTCGTCCACATTTCCGAACTATATCACTTTCACACCTAGCATCAAATGACAACCAATCTCATTAATATTATTACCTACAGGTAGAAAGAGAAAAAAAGGCAAAATGTAGACACGTAGAGTAACTTGATTCTTATGATCATATTCAACATTATAGTCATGTATGGAGAGACAGCGATAGTAAATGGATCATGCCCTCGAGAAATAAACGTTTGTTGAAACAAGATATATCAATAATTATAATTTTCTTCTGCTTCGAATATTGACAAATTTTGTGCATAGTTATACATTTTAAACTGCACTGGTTCACAGAAAATAAATTAAAGCGCAATAAAGGCATCCTTATCCTCAGATTTTGGTGCGGGTGTGGGTGTGGGGTGTGGGTGTGGGTGGGTGTGGGTGTGGGTGTTGGAGTGGGTGAGGCTGTGGTGTGGGCGTGAGTGTGTGAGTGTGGGATGTGGGTGTGGGTGTGCGTACGGGTGTGGGAGTGGGTGAGACTGTGGTGTGGGTGTTGATTTTCCCTTCATCCTTTTTCGCACGTACACCCACACCCACACCCACACCCACCCACATCCACACCCACATTATTCCGTATAATAAGACATGTCCTTCGCTAGTCAGAATTCTCTAAAACAGTTTTAGATGTTAACACTATTCTCCGATTGCATATGACTAAAATTACTCAATAGTACTTGACAGAATTTTTTTAACTATAAAATCTACTTCTCGTTTCAAGTTATTCTTATTTCTATGAATTACAAACATAATCTTTCATTATTAATCAGTTTCCTTTGATTCCTGAAATTTTATAAGATTTAAAAACATATTTACATTATTCGATGAATTCGCACGTAAATCCATGTCTGAGTTGTATAAACGATTAGGATTTGCATTTTTATATACAACAGCTCGTCGATAGAGTTTACCAGCAATAGTTTGGGATTCATATGAACGATCTTTCATTAGAAAATCGGGATATATATAACCATATGGCTTTCGTATTTCACTTAACTATTTTCGATTAATAGCAGAGCCGCTTTTTGAAGCATCGACTATAATTAATAACCGAAAACGAATACTAAAATTATTTTAAATTTAGATTATACTCATTGGCTATTGAAAACATGTTTGCCAGTTCAATAGCAACTTTTTGACATGTACGTTGAGGACATTTTTCTAGATTTTTATCAACAACAGTTGCATGTAGATTATAAATTTCACCATAATTTGTTGCACCCAATAATAAATAACAATGTTTGATGATATTATAATAAGTTTTAGGTTTAGGATCTACAGAAGTCGTTTTTGCTAATGATGCATAATCAAGTGGTTCAACTTTTCGAGATAATTGCAAATGTTGGCCTCAATAAACCTTTGAAATACAGCAATAAGAAAAAAAGAATAACATATTATTTTATCGACAAAATATTTGATAAAAATACGTACAAAATAATGATCACCATCTAGATCGGAACCAGAAATTTTATTTGAATCAGGTCCTATAATAATATTGATATTGAATTCAACATCCAAAAACAAACAGAATTCGACTACTTACGATTATCATCAGTCGAGAATACAATCACATCAGCAAGACAATTCAGTTCAGAACAATCGACAGCTTCTAGTACAAGCATATAGCTGGCATAAGGACTAGAATATTGATTATTAAACTTTAGAAAACCAGTAGGAAAAAAATAATATAAAACGTACCATGGATTCTTTGTCACAATAACTGGTCCTACAACAGTTTTAAATTGAGGCTCTTTCAATGGTTTTCCATCTTTGTCGACAACTTGATATCGAATAAAGCATTGTCCTGGTCCAAGTACGGATTCGAATGCACAACCAAACATATATCGGCATTCGTTCACTGATAATGGTAACTTATTTTTCAAAAGATCCCTACATGAAAAAGCAAAACAGAAAACAGATATCGACATGTGATCAAATTAAATGAATAAAACTAACGTCTGTACTCGACAGCGCTTGGTGGTCGTTCTTTATCTTGAAACCATTTATCTTGTAGATTAAGAAAAGTCTCGTCGGATACACCAAGATCCGACATAATTAAAAGAATTTGATTATTGAGTCTCGTCGGAACTACAAAAGAATAAAAACTAGTTTTATCTTGACATAAAATTTTAAACAATGAAAACTCAGATAAATTAATGTCTACGTCTATTTAGATATGTTAACTACCTAGTGGTGATTTATAAAATGAATCTCTTACAGTTATTGTAAAAAAATTGAATTTATTAAATCGATTAAAAACTGAAGAACAGGTTGTAATGATATAGATGATTGGTCCTAAATTTTTATTCTCATAAGCAATATAGATCAATTGATTTAACATATCGTAAGAAGCTATTTTGAAAAATCTTTTCAATTAACACAATCTAGAAATCGATGGTCAAATTTAAACTAGTATTTTCATTGATTGTTTCGTACTAAGATTGCCGAGACTTTGGTTATCATTCCTCAAATAAAATAAACCTGTCGGTTTAAATCAATGATCTATAGTTATAAATAAATATTGATTAGGTATCCTACTTGTTGATAAACATACTCTAATAATAATGACACGAATTATTGCACTAAATTCTTATCCGAATCGTTGACAAAAAAAATGTAACAAACAGGCAATTAATGTTTTTTATTTCAAAACGTCGACAAAATGGTGTCAATCTCAAATAAGATCTGATTAGTTCGAATAAAAAATTCGATATATATTTTTGCAAAAAGAGTTACAACCAATTATTAATTGACGTATTAATAGACAAGCTCGTCACTTTGAAAACATAAATCTGCATATTCAAAAACATAATATTACAAAGCATCACAGATATCTTGAATAATAAACATTAGTTTTGTTATCTACTAACGAACGAAATTACTTTCAAAATTATCAGATTTAAATGAATGCAAATTTTGAATATATTTATTCAAAATCGAGCATTATTTATCTGATAATAAACTATGGTCTTTGCTTTTCAACAACTATTTAAAATAATTCAATTTATTTGCATCAGACAAACACTCCTTTTTCTTATATTGATTCAATTATAGGCTTTCTTTTTGCTCTCAAAATCGATCGATTTTAATCGAAGAATTTTTCATTTATAGTTTCATATCTTGCCTACATATCTATATGCATATATTTTTCTGATTCTGATCTACTTTTATATTTGAAATCTAGCATACTTGATCGACTACCTTCACAAATTTCCAAATTCCATTCGTTTAATTTAAATTTTTCCATTGATTCACGAATTTTAATATAAAATTGATCCAATGTCGATTGCAGTTCTACAACAACAAGACCTTTACAACCAGCAAGTCGAATTTGATAAGCGGACGGATATATATCCTAGAATAATTTTAAAAGATGAACAAATTCGAAAATATACAATCTACACACTTGATTCATCGTTTTAATACGATAACCAAGTTTTTCTGCAATAAGTCTTGCTAAACCTTTTGATATAAATCCGTTTCCATCTGTAAAACAATAACCATTACGTTCAATACCATTGATTTTTGTAACACAATAGTTGCCATTTTGAACTTGTCGATCGAAATCATTTACAGTATAATTGAGTGTAATCTAAAAATTAAACAAACCAAAACATACATACGAGGGAAGGCAATGAATTGTTAAATCGCTTTTGAGTCGAGACTATGTACAGCATGTAGTTCCTAGTGAGCTATTAATACTCTGAAAATAGTTCGGGCTTATATGGTATTCATGTCGAGATACTGCATTTTTACGTTTTTTTTTCTAACAGAATACCGTGGTCTCCCTCAGAAACACCAGAAAGCCGATTTTTCGAATTTCGACTTGAAACTTTGCACAGAAATAGATCTTAAAGAAAATAGTATATTGCGACAGTTTCAGATCTTATGATTTGCTCTTCTCCTGAAATATGAACATCCAATCTACTCATGTACATGAGCTATGTAAAAACTGCTTTTACCATAGCCGTATCTTAGGATAGAAAGATCGAAAATAAAACATACTTACTCCTGTTGGAATAGTCTTTGAAATCCAAAGACCTACTCGTGCAACAGATTTTTCAACATTCTTAATATGACTAAAATCACCTAATTGTGTTCGTTTTTGATCGATTTCTTTGATAGATTTTGCTCTTATAAACTAATAACTATATTCACGTAGTTGCGAATTAGATGCACCAAAAAATCGCTAACGAATATTACATATAAGAATACCCGATTTCAAAACAGTCTTGTAACTGTCATCCTTATTAATATATTTTTTATCTGGTTCGGGTTTAAAATACACTAAACAAAACTCATCAGCATCAGTAAACATACGGTGACGTAGAGCACGATGACCTTCAGTCCGCTCACGTCGCATAACTTTTATACTAGATGGAGTAACATGAACAACATTAACATCACAATAAAGTTGAACTTTCGTCTAAATAGAAAAATAAATATAGAATGATTTCAATATTTACTGAGCAATGCTTTACTTGTTCTTCTTCATCACATTCAAGTAAATCACATGCGCTATATTCGAATTTTTCTTCGTTAAAAATAGTTGTTAAATTGCTGAACATACACTATTAGCATTTTTAGTGTTTGACAAAGGTAGTGATTATTCATTTGATGCAATAGGTGGAACAGAACCAAACACATCTTTCACACATTGAATATGTTTTGGCCGATCAAAATGTCTTTTTATACCATTCCATCCTCCGTTAGCGCAGCTGAGATCATCTGTACGACACACAATGCATTAAAAAGAACTGGGAGTTTTACCTTTCTTAAGCTGCACAGAACATACTGTATCTGTATTGTCTAGTTTTTGCAACCATTTTGAGCAAAACACTATTTTTCGGCATTTGAAAATGTCTAACTGAGGGGATACATTTTTCGAAGCTGAATCGCTATAACATGATTGTTTTATATGTAGAGAGAGAATAACAAATTAGAATAAAAGCATGACAATGGAAGAGAACAAAAAGTAAACAATACAGGATGGAAAGTGTGTGTATCTCAATAAAAGAAAAAGTTCCTGCACAATTGATTCTGTTTTCAACAAGTCTTAGTGTTTACTTCAGCAACCTACGTTTTAATTGTAACTACGCATGACTATCGCACCTTCTCTTACGCAGATTTGACTCCAAAAGAAGCAATATTAGAACAAACTTTATAATTCCTGATTTTTATAAAAATTCCTGATTTTTTAAAAAAAATTTCCTGTCTGCTTTCCTGACATTTCTATATGGTTGTTGCTCATATGGTCGATTTAAAAGAATATTATTACCAAATGTATCTTGAAATATCCATGGTGATTGAGCTACATAAGCGAATGAACGATTATTTGTATTTAATTGAGCATTTATAAGATTCATTTCACCCAGAATAGCAGCAAATAAAGATGGATTTACCAGAGCCTACTGGTTCAACAATTCCGACAAATGTACCTTGCTCGATAGTAAGATCAGATAATGATAAACAAGGTATCTCTTTGCACCACGAAAAACATGCATGTGAAATCATGATATTTCCTTTTAGTTGTTCATTGATTGAAGACGCAATTAATAGTTACTGATTGCCTTGTTTTTGTTTAGACACATAAATGAATCTATTCTATCTGATGCAACTTTATAGTTGCACTTAATTTTTCAATGCCCATTGGAATAAAATACATAGCATTCACACGCACCAAGGAAAACAATGAAAGAGTCGTAAGGATATTATCTATATTCAATAGATAACCTAATAGCCAGGCATTACCAAACGTAACGAGTGTAAAAAATGATGCAGAACCAAAAAATACAGTCATTTTGAGCGCACGCAAGCGACATATACATCGAATACTTGCTAATTTATGTTCGCGCATTTCAACTATACGATCAACCAATGGTTTTTCCCAGTTATTGATTTTAACCAAATGACATCCATGAATATATTCATTAAAAGCTTACAAACGTTTATAACTACACATAGCTGTTATTTCATAGTACTGACGGAATTTTTTACCCAAATATAATTGGATAAAGATAAATACAGAAAATAAAGCATAACCACCTAATGCTGGTATAGATTGCATTATCCAAATAAGTAAACCAAATACGATGATAGCTTCGACAATTCCTTCAACTAGATAACCTAAACATGAACATAAGTCTTTAAACTTAGATGCATCGTTAGCTATCAAGTTCATGATTTGACCTGTGTCCAATTCTTTCAATGATGTCGATTTTAGAGATAATGCACGTGTATAAATTATCATAGTAAATGCACTAAAAATTCGTACATCAATACGAGACAAACGAAAAAAACTATGTCGATGCACGAGCGTTTGTATAACTCCCGAAATAGACAATAAAATGACAAATAAATAATTGATAGTATTCGATTCTTCCTTATTCATTAAATTCAAGACAATTTGACGACAAATTAATGATTGAGCAATATTCGTCATCAAATGAGGAATCAACAAAATATCAGCAAAAATATAATCTTTCCAAAACTCTTTTATAACAATTCTTCAGGTTGTTGCTGATGACCAATCATAGGAAGATAATCTACGTAACAATACTAAAGCTTTGTCAACATGGGAAATATCACCAAGATCATCTACTGTCAATTGTCGTTTAAATTCTATATGAAGAATAGGATTCAACCACCACCAAGATAGTACATATCAAAATCGAGTCCAAGATGACTCTGTCCACTCCAAACGAGATGAATGATGTTCAGGATTATCATTAGTAGAATATGAGACTTTTTTCTGGTTGAGTAAGTTTTTCCTTTCGTTGTTTCCTTGCGTCTTGATTATCTTTGCCATCGAAATGCATAGGATAGTTTACTAGCACATTTTTTATGTGTATTCATCCAGAACGAATCGATTTAATCGTAGCTACACGTAGACCCGTTTGAGAATAAATAAAACTTGAGTACTAATGAAAGAAATGAAAAAAAATGCACATGTAACTGGATGATTTATGAAGAATCAATGCGACAGTAAACAAAATAACGGAAAAAAAGGTCGACGTAAAATTGGTAGGCCTGATAAATAGGAGAGAAATTTATAATAAGAAACTGAAAGCTTTTTTTTTAAATAAAACCTTCAAAGCAGACGAATATGCTAAATCAGTACAAAATATACATAGAAATCCCTATGATCAAACTGAATATCATTACAAAGAGACATTTGTTTCTTTGACACATACAGTATAAGAACTAGAATTGTGTTTTTTACAATTAAAACTGTTATATGAACAAATTATCATCAAGTTATATCAAAATTAATTCTCATAGAAAAGTACAATTAACAAAAAGTATTTTAATTTTAGTATACGTTTCCATCATTTGATTATGCAATTAAAGATATTTTGTCTTCTGAGCACTAAAACTTGACCAGAAGTTTCTGATTCAATACCAAAAATTTCGTTTGAAATGGTTGATTAAATTGCAGTAAGTGAACCTTTGAATAGAGCTTTTCAATAGAGCTTTAATTTTCTACTATGAGAAAATAAAATGACGTGACTATCATACTAGCCAAGCACTGAATAAGAATTCAAACTCGAATTGTTCTTTGGTATTTGACGTGATTTAAATCTCTTCTTTTATTTTTATTTTAAATTTTTATTCAATTTAATTTTAATTTTAAAATTGTAACATTTCGTATTTCGATGGATACTTCGTATCAGACATAAAAGTTAAGACAAATGACATGTAACTATAAACAACTGTTTCTTTTCTGTAGTATTATTCATACTTTTAATAATGATACGGAAATAAATTCAATTCTTAATCTAGCTATTACTATCATCGTCTTGTTTTCCGTATCACTCTCAAATTGTATGACTAATACTACAGAAAAGAAACAGTTGTTTATAGTTACATGTCATATGTCTTAACTTTTATGTCTAATGAAGTATCTATCGAGACACGACACGTTACAATTTTTAAATTAAATTGAATAAAATTTTAATAATAAAAATAAAACTAAAGTGAAAGAAGAGATTTAAATAATGTCAAACCTCAATTCAACCTTCTTTTCAAAACAAGAATTGGATTATTCTTTTGGAAAATGGTGGGTGTCTACTTTACTTTTTCATGATACTGCCACAAAAATTATTGAGACTATAGATATTTTATGCATTGATATTATTTTATTTTTCATACAACTGAAAGCTTTTGCTCTTTTATGATAAATTTTTTGACTACTTTTCGCATCAACTAATTTTCTTATTGTTATATGTCGATAACGATAAATATTGAGAGTTAAATTTATGATCAGTCAATGGGTATACTTATCGAACGAAAAATAGACTAACACAATCATCAAGAAAAAAAAATAATAGATTCAACTAATTATTCTTCGTTCAATTCAAATATACGTTTAAGAACAAATATAATCAGACTTAGTTTGATGCTCAGCACGCATATAAAGATTTCATTCCTTTGCATTAAGTATTAATCATGTGAAAAGATTCTTGATCTTTTGAATCCTAGGTCAAATAGAGAGTAATTTATTACTCAACTGGATTACAGTCAGGATATTCATCTGTTTCTGTACTCTGGAATTGTTATAATTTAGTTATCTAAGAAACAACGCGGAAGTCGCTGTAAAGCGGTCATTCAATGACTCTTTTCTGTTATATTGATCACAAAAAGTTGATATGTTTAAAATTTTCTCATCTAAAAAAAGAATATAATTTCATTGAAAATTATGCTTTTTTTTCGGAAGTGTGTACGTCTAAAAAGTTATTCACTAAATATACTTGTAAAGCACTCATTCAAGTTTGCTAGAAAAACAACATCGCCAGATTTTTCGGTAATAATAGAAGATGCTCTATTCGTATCCACTTGTATATTGATCGTCAATTATACTTCTATTATTTCCATTTTCAATGGGATATACTCTGATGTCGAGAATATACTGTGGATTAACAAGATGATTTTCATAAGACAAATACGTGATTTGACAGGTTATTATTATCATTTTCTAGCTGTTATTTATAATCTTTGATATAGATCAACATTATCTATTTGATAACTGATATGAAAATTTCAAATCAAATAAAAATGTTCGCCGCATCGTGAAAAAAATCGCCAAAACCCACACCCTTTTTTTTGTACGTAACAGCTAAATTAATGGTTAGTTTGGGTTATATG